TTCCAAGAAGTCAACCATTTTAACTTTCACAAAATATATATATAATAAAACATTAATGTTTATGGTACATAATTAGTATTATTAGATAAATCATTAAATATATTTTTATAATAAACTTATTTGGAAATAAAGATGTTGTTAATATTTTTTATAAATCTAGTTAACAGAAGACTTCTGATAAGCACGAATCTTAAAGCAACTCCAACCGAACTCTTACTTGAGCCCTCATCTTATTTTGAGAGTTCAAACTCATTAAAAATCTCTCCAACTGAACCCGTATTCAAGCCCCGATGGATAAGGAACTTTCATTTCTCTCTCCTAAACCCCTAGATGTAGGAGTTCCTCATCCTCTCCCTCATCCTGCTTTCTCTTTTCCCTAAAGCTGACAAGTGTGACCAATAAATAGGGTTCATGACAATACTATGTAAAAGTAGGAAAAATTTAGGAGATCGGTTGGAGTATCCTGAGGAGTAGAGGATGAAATATGGATGGGGGACTCTCATTCGCTGGAACAGGGGCAAAATTTGAGGGATTTGTTGGAGTTATCTTATAGGGGCTTTTTTTTCGTGACAGAGCGAGTACTGGCGCAGTCGGTGGTACTGGATAGCACGCTAGTCCTAGCCTCCTAGTAGGTGCTTGTTGGTATTGGGTCGTTCGTCGGAGTAGGCACGTTGCGTTTGATAATTAGCTCGTGCGCTGATAGCCCCAATCGAGTCAAGGCGCTCGTGTGCTCGCATGCCGTTATGATTACTTTTGATTATTGATGATTTACTAATAGTTTAAGCGGATACAGGATCACCATGGTCAAGCTGTCACAGCAGGCACGGGCCGTTCCTCTCTTTTGATTACTCGATTGATGATTTGATGATATTTTAAGCGGATACAGGATCGCCGTGGTCAACCTGTCACAGCATCAGGCGCGGGCTGTCTAGAAGCTGTTCATGGTGCCGATTTTGCGGAAGCTCAGGCGTGTATCGCTACGCTACAATCGGCGCCAAGGTCAAGGTATTGTCAAGCTTGTTCTGGAAACAGATTCACTGAGCACAGGTCCACAGCCAAGGCTTTGCGCTCTGACGCTCACGATCTGAGCCCAGCTTCTGTTTTGTGTATAAGGAAGCACGAGATTTGATCAGGTTGCATTTCGAGTCGGTGGATGTCCCTACATATCCCTAGATCATGTAATAGCTATGCGTTGGTTGAGACCCGGATCACTCGTAATCCATCCGTTCCATTAAAAATATCGTTTTTTACTTTTAGATTTTTTTAACCATTCGTTTCATTTAAATTTTTTATACAAATAATAAATAAATAAATTATTATTAAAATATCTTTAATGATAAAATAAGTCCTAACAAAATAAATAATTTATATAAATTTTTAAATAAAACAAATGATAAAAAAAGTTAAAAAGTAAAAAACAACATTTTTAACAGGACGGAGGGAGTATGTTAGGCTCAATTCTTTCCAAGCGTTATATCTAATATTTTGAATGAAGGGACTGTGTTGGTGTTGATAAATAAATAAAAGTACTGCAGCGACGACCCTGGAAGGGTTCAACCATCACATCACTATATCAGTGTCAGCGTCAGTGTCAATCTCAAATGCGTCGGCATTTGGTGTGGAACCCACGTGTGGGCACGTGACGGACACAAGATTTTAAAATTTGATGTACGAAACCGTGAAGCCACTCAATAACATTTCAATCAGCCTTCGCTGGTTCGTATCGTTGTTGATTCGTGAAGAAGTATTGTTGACTGGTTTATGTGAGAGAAAAATAATATTTTCGGCTGAAAATTTACGATCGTTTACGATAAGCCACAGCCAAACGAACAGGCTAAAAACATAAGTTCATTGAATTTGTACACATCAACCGTGCCGGAGGTTGGACATGAAGTCAAAAAGAATTTGTAAAAGGAACTGTTTAAATTCAAAACAGGACTCCGAAAAGGATGCCTTAATTTCATGCAAATTGGACAAATATAAATACTTTAGTATTAGCATAAATTTAACAGTTATTGAAAATTATCTAAACAAATAAAAAGAATCCTAAATGTATTACATTTTAATTTGCTACGCAAGTCGACGACCAATGCATAAACTGAATAAAAATTGATAGTTTTTTTATCTAATTATCACTCTTGTTCACAATCAATTAGAACGACAGATCTAGCTCGCCAAACAATACGGTTCATCCCAACAATGCAAGGTTAGTAAAGTAGAAATGACAACAAAAGTACAATTGTACAGATGATTAGGTGTCGTCGGCTTTGATGAGCCATTCTTCGGTCCGTTAGTTGGTTGGTTTCTGGGCTGATAAGCTCGACTAATATTGATTTATTATGAGAAAAAAAATATTATTAACTGACTAATAAACTCTGGCTAAAACCGACATACGAACGTGCTGCTTGTTGTCTAACTTGTGCGGGCCTCGATGAGCACCAGAGGTCCAGAGTAGGTGGAGACAGAGATATCGAAGAGGTGCAGAAACTTATAGCACCGAACGATAAGCAAAGGCGGCAAAATATGCATGACCAGCCGGGTAGCTCCTCCACGCCGCTGGCCCGCTGCTCGTGTCGCGCTTCCCCTTTGCCTAGCGTCTGCTCTCGCGCCCATCCGGGCACCCCCGACGGTGTTGGCAACGTCGCAAACGGCAAAGCCGATGGCTCCATGCGTTCACTTGGGCGAAATGCTAACTAGAACGAACAACTAAGGAGGCTGGCCCATAAGAGATGGTGCCAAGCAGCGGCGGATGCAGAACATGATTGAAGTGGTGTTGATCTCTTTTTCTTTCTCCTTCTCTATTTTTCTTCTTTCCCCCACCTCTTCTTCTCTCTCACCCTCTACGGTCCCGTTCGGCTAGTAGAATTTTGGCTGAAACTGGCTGAAAAATATTGTTCTGGTTGAATTGTTGTGAGAGAAAAACACTGTTTTAGCTAAAAAAAACTGAATAAGTTAAATATGGGGTAAATCGAATGGAGCCGTACATATTTCCATTGATGCACCAGCCGTAGGGGGCGAGGACTGACTTTGACTGAGTTGTTGTTGCGTGTTTGTGCTCAAATTAACACAATTTGTCTCAAGTGCAAACATATACATATATTATAGTACGTACATACTAACTGTAATATTTTTTTTGCCAATAATATTGGGTGTACATCTGTACATGGTACACTGCGTCCGCCCAATCCACACAGCGGAAGTACAAAAGGAAATGTGTTTGCCTTTGATTCAGCGGAGATGGAGAAGAGAAGTCAAGCGGCTCGTCGAACAAACGTTCTGCATGCAATCATATCACACTTGTGCTAGCTCAAAGGAAAGTAATACTAGGGAGCGATTATGTCACACTAGTACTTGTTAAAAGGGAAGTGGTACTAGTTGCAAGGAAAGTTTTAAAAAATACAGTATTAAGTTGAAAAAAATGCAATCATATCACCCTTGTGGTAGTTCAAACTTCAAAGGAAAGTAATAAGAGGGAGCAATTATGTCCTTGTTTAATTCCCACCCTAAAACTTTACACTCTATCACATCGAATATTTTGGCACATGCATAAAGTATTAAATATAGACTAAAAAATAACTAATTACACAGTTTACGACTAATTTATGAGATGAATCTTTTAAGCCTAATTAGTTCATAATTTGATAATAAAGTGATACAGTACGACATGTGCTAATGATAGATTAATTATGGTTAATAAATTCGTCTCGCGGTTTACTGGCGGATTCTGTAATTTGTTTTTTTATTAGTATCCGAACATCTCATATAACATCTGATGTGACGTTCCAAAACTTTACACGCTGATCTAAACAAGGACCATGTTACGCTCATACTTGTTAAAAGGGAAGTGGTGCTAGTTGAAAGGAAAGTTTCTTTAAAAGATACAGTACTAAGTTAAAAATATTACAGTACTAGTTGAAGGGGAAAGTTAAAAGAATACACAAAAGGGAAGTGGTACTAGTTGAAAGGAAAGTTTTTAAAAAATACAGTACTAAGCTTAAAACATTACAGTACTACTAGTTGAAGGGGAAAGTTTAAGTTAAAAACATTATAGTACTAGTTTAAGTTAAAAACATTATAGTACTACTAGTTGAAGGGGAAAGTTCAAAAAAAATACAATTTGGCCCATGCAGGTCCCGAACCTGCAACCACCTTCGCGTTATTAGCGCGACGCTATAACCAACTTAGCTAATATGCCATTTGATACATGGTTCCAATAAACCTTTTAATGTCGGTCTATTACTAAACAGCAGTACATGGCATCTTATAAGAACAGTTTCGGACCACCTACGACTACGATCCGCTCTCTACAAACTTATCCAGAGTTGCATCCAACATCATCGATTCATCGTTTGGAACACCGGAACGCAATCTCTTGAACTCCTCGGAAAATGTTTCAGAAAAGATCTGCAGGATTCTTGCTCTCCGAGAAAAAGATCTGCAGGCTGCTTCAACAAGAAGAAATCTCCATGTATTTGTTTGCCTCAGACTCTCAGAGGCTTCACCACTCCAATTTCAGTACCAAATGGCCACGAAGCTCCCAGATCGCTGGGTCTATTCTTGTCGAGCAACTCTTGGCTCGCCCGGTCAGTTGCTTCTTCACGTAGCACTGATCGACTGTGGGAGGCAAATGCCAAATGATGCTATAAACCCACTGCTTGCATGTGAGGTATGAGTAAGTTCAAAATTCAGAACTTCTGAAGTTGCACGGCAGTATAGTACCTGTGTTACGAGGAAAGCTCTCTTGCAATTGAAGCGAGCGGGTCGAGAAGAGCAACTAGGCTCTCTGCTCTTCCCGGAAGAAAGCCTTCACAGTACAGCAGCAGGATTTATGTGAGTTTGGTACGAAACTGAAGTCAGATAAACCATATTATTTTCATTCCAGAGATGATGAGTCAAATAAGAAATGCTACTACATGATATACCATCATAAAGTAACAGTTACCAATACAACTGTTAACTGGAACTTCAGAATTGTTACTCTCTAGGAACCTATATCCGAGTTACAACCAAGGGAGCCTGGTCAGGAAGTCGAGCATGCATCGATTCAACTCCTGAAATTCTGTTTCAGAAAGAGCGGCTTCAACGAGAAATCTGCATATGTTTGCCTCAGAGGCTTCGTCGTAGTCTTTCCTCCTCTTCAGCACCAAATGGCCACTGAGCTCCCAGATTGCTGGATTGATTCTCATGTCGAGGAACTCTTGGCTTGCCTTTCCAAGGAGCTGCTTCTCTGCATAGCACTGACCAATCGGTTTTGAGGGAGATAAATGTCAAAACATTGCTAAAGGACGAATTGTGAACATTGTTTCAGAGTTCAGAACTTACAAACAACCAAGGTTGCATGGCAATACCTGTGGTAGGAGGAAAACTCTCTTGCCAGATTCAGAGATGAGGACATTGAAAGGTCTGTTGTTCTCTTGCAAAAAGATGCACACTTTGGATACCACATACGACAAATCTTCCAGGCTTGCACCACCTTCGAACAAAAAGCCATTGACCGGATAATCCACCAGGTGAAAAATGCTCACGCCATTCCCTAGGCTCGTGAGCTTCTCCGTGGTTGCCTTTTCAACTGGATACTGTACTTTCAGGTAGTATGCCTGATGAACAAAATGCCAGTATATGACTTGCTGAGAGGATTGTAATGTACGAACACTTGTCAATTGTCACACTGCAACCCAGAAGTATATGACATATAGACATTCTGAAGACTAACCTGGAAGTGAAGGTGATTGATAGTTGCAAAGCCGCCCAGGCTGTTATAACCAACTCTGAAGAAGGGATTCATTGCCTCTCTTGCAACATACATGGCTATTAAAAAGCTCTCTTGATCAATCCTCTGCTGTAAACAGTCCTGGATCTTGGGAGTCAAAAGGACATGGCAGTAGCCAATTGGACTCACCTGTGACCCAGAAGATGAAAAAAATGTTAATCAAATCATGTCGAATTTCTATCAGTAAAGCATTAAGTAAATTTGACAGAGGGGGGCGCACTGACATTAATCAAGATGGCACTAGAAGAAGCTGAAACAGTATCAGGAACACCATCAAAATATTGTGCAGAGTCTTTCTCAGTTTCATTGAATCTAAAGATCACCTCCAATGGGCTAACTTTTGTGAAATTAAACTTCTCACTGACAAATGGCTGGAGAACTTGGTTCATTGTGAACTCAGTTGGCCGTTTCTTTTGATCACGTCCTTCAATTAATGTTGCCACAAAATTGTGTTCTCCAGGTAGCACCTATGACATGATTATGCAAAATTAAGAGAGAGATGAAATCACCCAAAGATACCTGACCAGTTAATTGGAGAGAATAAGATAATGAAAAAGAAAACCTTTGTTTCACAGGAACTGATGTCATGGTGAAACAAGCCCCTCATCTTGCGATCATCCCACTGCAATAACCGCTCGTGTTTATACTTTAACTAGCACTCTTTCAATACAAATCATAATCGGAATGCAGAAATGATGTGTCTCAGACAAGTAAAAATTACAAACCTCATTAAAAAGTTTGCGTAGAAATGGTGACAAATTTGAACCTTCATGCTCTGTCAGGTCAAAACTAGTGCCATCCATGGTTAGTTTTGTTTCAGCTGAAAGCAATGCCAAAATATACAGAGGAGTCAGACAGCGCCTGCAATATATGAGTTTGTATTACCTAAGTTCCATACAGCTCATTACTAGCACTGTGTCCAATACAAGGTCGCTATGAACAAGCATCACTTAAGAAAATGCCCAATTGTTCATATGGAAGTATGTAACAGTTGTGCAAAAGAAAAAAAAAAGGGAGAGAGAAAGATGTAGAAAACAGATGCATGAAGTAGACGGGTCGTTTTACAGCTCAGCATTTGGGTTTGTCCCAATCCAAATGCTCAAAACCACCCCAAGATGCACAAATCAATTCCCATTTTCCACCACCAGTTTTTCCACACCACATGTTCAATTGATCCATGTGTGCTGTCGGTGACAAGTCATAAAGGCCAGTAGGCCACTCTTTTCCCTGACCACAAGCACAGAAATATCACATCAGCTAAGAGAACAACGCCGGCATACCGAAGAAACGACGCCGCGAGGTTCGGTTTGGTTTTGGCGAGCTCTCGACGCCGCGGGAGCAGGAGCAACCAGCGACAGCGATGGAACGAGCTGGGTTTGAAGAGCAGCGACTAACATAGGAAATGCCCAACTTTTATTGCGGGGGACGCGGGTGGAAATGGCCCCCAAGGGTTGGATCTCACTCAAAGGAGGCCTTCCCCCAAATCAGCAGCTGGATGCCTGGATTTGGTGGCTTTTTGTTGAGAGATTGTAGGCGGAGAAGACGGTGGATTCACGGCAACCCCACGTGGATAAGCAACGGGAAGAGAAGGGAAACCGGGAGGAGAGCAGGAGCGCCAGGACGGTCACGATGAGAGGAAGGTGCGGCCGCGCGCTCCATTTGTGTGATATCACGATCATTAGTCGCGATCCAAATCAGGGATTAATTTGCAACAATTGTAAGTGGTTACTGTCGTGGACCGCGACCTCCGCTCGCCCGAGGGGATGCTTCGATGGAGGACGGAAACCAGAGGTGGATACGCAGGACGGACTTCCCCAAAGTCGCCGACAGCCCCCGCGCCGTTGTGCCGCTTTCTCTGCACGACTTGCGGCCCTGATTCACCGCATCCGAGAGATAGACGATGGTGACGGACTGCTCAGCCCCACTAGGAACTACGGAGTAGGTAGCGATCTCGGATGCAGCCAGCGACGGAGTGAGCGGGAGGAGAACAGCAGCGAGCCAGCAATGAACAGGGAAAGGAACGCACCTTTCCTAGCACATAAAGCAGGCGGCAATGGCGCCCCAAGGATTGGAATCTCACTTCAAGGCAAGTTCCCGAACAGAGGTTTCCTCCGAGATTTCGGTCGGATGCCGGAGTGGAGTCCGAACTCTGAAGACAGAAACTGAAACTGGGAAAGGGATAGACGAAGATGCCAGATGGGCCACGCCCAATTCGTTAACCTTTTTTTTTATAAGCCCAATTCGTTAACTGATGGGCCATGAGAGGCTTCTGCGCGAGCCCATCTGGCGATAAGATACTACCTCCACAGTTTACGTGGACCCACTTGCAGTCAACAGCATAAGGAAACCCCGTGGACGGTGGACCACATCCACAGACAAGGTCATCAGTTATTCTCGGGCCGTTATTCTCTAACTCTGACAAGCAGGCTCCACACATTTTCGAGTCCACGGGCGGTCCATCGGAGTGTACAGCAAGCGCCGGCCCGCGGGGCGCTCTTCCCGATACCCGGAGAGGCGGAGACCGGACTCAAAAGGGGGCGAGGCGGAGCGCAGCCAAAACCCCGAGCCCCGCAAAACCCCTAAACCTAGCCCCCATCCCCCACCTCCGGGCTTCTCCGCGCGGCTTCCAACGGTTGGAGGCAAGCCGCCGCCATGGCGACCCTCCTCAGGCGCGCGTCGCTGCGGCGCGTCATCACCGCCGCCGCCTCCGCCTCTTCTTCTCACCCTGAGGTCCAACCCTCGCTCTCTCCTCTGTATTTAAGCTTTTTTTGTGGTTTGGGTAGGCTGGGTTGGTGAGTGGCGATTCTCGGTCGAATGCTCGATGCATTTAGTTGGGTTTTCTACTGTGCTGATTGAGAGTGAACCCTAGTTTGGTCACAGGAGTTTGATCGTCTGTATGCGGAATCGCGTCCTTGGGGGCTAATTCCTCTCGATTTCAGTCTCAATTCGCGACTGGGTAAACCCTTTAGTTCCGTGTCAACATGTTTTATCCCATAACTAATTTACAGGTGTATCTCTTGCTTACTACTCCCTGCTTTTATTGAGCGCCGCCCAAATATCACTTTTCTGTCAGAAATGTTATTTGATCTTACTGTGTGGTAGATTTGTTTTCCTATTGTGTGACCACAACCACAATACAAAATCATAAGCACTCCCCATTGCTATTAACATTTTTTTAGTTCAACAGCATTCTTAAAGCACTATAATGGCTCAATAATTTTTTGTAGTATGTACAGCAGCACAAGATTAAAAAATAGTAATGGCACTGGGGAATGTGATACATGCACTAGATTTTTTTTTTAAAAAAAAATGTGACTCCTGTTTTTCTGATACTTTAATATTTGTGCAGAGCTGTAAGCAAGGGATCTGTGGCTCCACGTTTCATTACCGAGAGTTCGCATCAAAAGGTTATAGACAAATTCCGTTATACTTTTTGCACATTGCTTGTTGTTTTGAACTCTTGATCTCTTATTGTTACCTGCATTGTGACATGATTATACTACTAGTACAGGATTTCTTCCTTTGCTTCTGTTATACTCCTTTGTCACTGCCCATTGGATCAGTTACTGATTCTTCTCTTGCCTATATAGCCAAAAAGAAGAAGTCAAGTGGAACTGACTCTGGTGAGGAGAATATGTCAAAGAAAGACTTGGCTTTACACCAGGCTATCGATCAAATAACGTCTGCATTTGGGAAGGGGGCGATAATGTGGCTTGGGCGTTCACAAGGCCATAGAGATGTACCTGTCGTGTCTACTGGATCTTTTGCTTTGGATATGGCTCTAGGAACTGGTGGTCTTCCAAAGGTAAGCATTTGCATATTAATGATTTAAGTAGATCTTTTTTTGTTGACCATTACATGATATTATTTTCAAATTGTAAAATTTGATTAGTCTAGTTTATGATGTTGTAAGTTGATGTATTTTATTTTGTATAAAAGTTTCATGCTAGATATCTTTTATAGGGGCGTGTCATAGAGGTCTATGGTCCAGAGGCTTCAGGCAAGACAACGCTTGCTCTACATGTCATTGCAGAAGCACAAAAGAATGGGGGTAAACTCTGAACTTTCAATGATTTCCGTAGCATGGGAAAAAATAGAGGAAAGTAGCTTGACAATTAGGATAACCAAAGTTTGGGATTTTATAGGATGCACCTGATCTGGTGAATTATCCGCTCAGCTGCTTTCTTTTTTGTGTGTAACATTCACCAGAGGGGGGCTATCCTATGGAAACTGCTCCTTTGCCCGCCCCCCTGATCCAGAAAGGGAGACCCAACCTTGACATCTTTTAAGGCAGTTTGTACATGCATCATGATTTCAAAATCAGAATTATGTAACAACTTTATCTGTTCTTTTTAAGCAAGTCATGAATATATTTTGAAAAAGGTAGTTTTCCAGTTTGATTCTCAAATGCTGATTTTCCTTTTTAAAATTTCGCTGGCCTGCCTACTTAACAAAGCTTTTTGAATAATTGGTTGAAAGTTGCAATACCTGAAGTTAAAAGAAAAGCTGTCCTTACCTTTTATTTAGAATATGAATAAAATATGTAAAGACGTCAGCCGTGGATGTTAGTTTTCACTAGTTTAAAGTTTGAACTTCCTTTGTCTACAGTCTACTAAGCCTTATAATTTTTCGCTGCCATGCCTTATCATTTGACTAGTTTGAATCTTAATTTCAATTATGCCAGAATTATGCTTTAGTTACTCTCTTGTAATTCTATAAGAACATCTTAATGACTTTTTTCTTTCTGTTTTCTAGGTTACTGTGCCTTTGTAGATGCAGAGCACGCTTTGGATCCAGCTCTCGCAGAGAAAATTGGTGTTGACACTAACAATTTGCTTCTTTCACAGCCAGACTGTGCTGAGCAGGCACTCAGTCTTGTGGACACACTGATTCGAAGTGGATCTGTTGATGTTGTTGTAGTAGACAGTGTAAGACCTCATCTTGAGCGGAGTTGCTCTCTATTTGTGCAATATTGCCGTTTCTTATGAGATTAGATGCACAGTTCATATTATCTCATTCTACTATGCAGGTAGCTGCGCTTGTTCCAAAGACTGAGCTCGATGGTGAGATGGGTGATGCACATGTTGCTCTTCAGGCTAGGTTGATGAGCCAAGCTCTTCGCAAGCTTAGCCACTCCCTTTCACTTTCGCAGACAATTTTGTTATTTATTAATCAGGTATTAATCATACATAATTTTCTCGGTGTTAGTTCAAGTAATTTATTTATAATTTATTCCATTATGTATCTTATTGAGGCGAAGCTTCACATATGTCAGAAGATTGTTGCCATATTGAACTTTAATTAAGGCTATAAATATAGTTGTATTTTTTTTACCTTCAAGTTCTGGAATTACATGTTGCTTAAGCAAAAAAGGAATGCCACTGTAAATTAGTAAACATTAGCATACAATTCTATCTTTTGAAGGGATATACCTGGTTCTTCCTGTGCAATCTTACCGTTTTTTGCATGCAATTGATATTTGTTTTTTATGCAGTTATATCCTTATTTTTCCTTAAAATGGCCTGTATTTTTGCTGCTAACTTAGTCTCTTTGTCTCCATTGTAGATCAGGGCCAAGGTAGCCACATTTGGATTTGGAGGACCAACTGAGGTCACTTCTGGTGGCAATGCCTTGAAGTTTTATGCTTCTGTTCGCTTGAACATCAGGCGTATTGGTTTGGTAAAGAAAGGCGAAGAGGTAATTAACTAAATCATTTATTTAGCATCTACCCGATTTAGTTTAGTATCCAGTACTTTAATGTTTGAAATTCAGTATGTTCACAGCGTGACTTTGATTTAGCAGAGATATACATGTCTGCATGAGGCTTATTTAACTGAGCCACTGCTAGACACATGGAATAGGCAATTTATAGGCATCTACATGTGCTGTCACTCTACAAGCATAAATTATTAGTGAATTAAAATAACTGACTCTACATATGCCATATGGGCTTTGCAGTAGTGAGATTTGGTGCTCCCTGAAACAGTATTCACTTTGTGTAGCTTTTGAATGATAATGTCTTCCATTTGCAGATAATAGGTAGTCAGATTGCTGTGAAGATTGTAAAAAACAAGCATGCCCCACCCTTCAAGACTGCACAGTTTGAGCTTGAGTTTGGAAAGGGGATATGCCGCAGTTCTGAGCTTTTTGAACTGGGATTGAAGCACAAGCTTATCAAAAAGACTGGTGGTGCATATTATAGTTTCAATGATATGGCTTTCAATGGTAAAAATAATCTTAAATCTTACCTTGATGAAAACAAGAGTGTTGCAAATGATCTGGAGATGGAACTAAGGAGATTGATGGGAACTGAAGCACCTAAAGAGCAGGAGGCAGAAGATAGTTCGGCGAGTGATTTGCCTGAAGAGATTGTCACACCTGAAATATCGTCAGAAGAGGATCTGGGAGCCGTAATCGAAGGTTAACCAGTGATCTGATGTGCTGGCAAGTGGGAACAGAATTTCTGGAGCAGTTGTTCCCGTAAAACAATATTTTGGGTCCTGAAGTCACCACCGTTTAGATCGACATGACCTGTGGTGTTCTGGTGATTTCATTGTAACAGACTTCAGTTCTTACTGTGCTTATACAGTAGTGTAGCATGAAGAGAAATCGCATTGTGTGAAATCATGCTGAGTGGTGGAAGTCGAAGTAAGCCGGGTAAGGGTGTGAGGCATTGTGTTCTGTGGCTATTTGAACTTAGTAAGCGACGGTAAAATGTAGTGGCGTGGTCGTGTACTCGTGTATATATGATGTGCACATTTTGAGCTCGTGGTATCACGTCGAAGTCAATTTCAAAAGCATTCTTTATTGAGTGCTGCTAGAATTACATTGAGCTCCCTCCACTTACGGTACTTGCCTGGTTTTTGCTTGTAGCTAGTTTTGGTTTTTGGATTGGTGCCTGTTGCTGGAAGATACTCGTAGTACAATGTAACTGGGGCTTTTCTGATCTGGGCTGATCCATGTTTGCCGCTTTTCTCATTTGGGCTGATCCGTGTTTTGCCCATCAGGCCCATTGACAGGTCCTTTCCTGTAGTGTCCATTGCTCCCATCTGTGTCTCTTTACAGGCATATTTTCTTGATTTTTTTTTTAATTTTAACACCTTTTGGAAACTAATTTTAAATCTAACACGGTCGGTATTTTTTTAAAAACTAACACTTTTGACCGCGCCTATTGCCCTAGCGCGGCCAAATGCCTGTGTCGCGCCATGCATGGTGGTGCGGCAGAGGTCTGACGTGGCGACGACCGAAAACGCGATCGCTGATGTGGCAGGGCTCTGCCGCGCCACCGATCTTGGCGCGCGAGCAGCCAGCTATTTGATCATGGCGCTGTCTGCGTAAATAAATATCGCGAAGCGAGCCCCCCCCAAGACGCACCACGCCTTCGCCACATCGACATCGCCATTGCCACCAAGACGCCGCCATGTGCTGCACAGTAATCAGTCGTCGGTGTTTCGTGACAGCGCTATCATCCTCCCACCCTCGCCACAAGAAGCCATGGCCCGCCAGCGCCACTTAACGCCGCCCGCTCCTACGGTACCTCCCTCTCAATTTCATGTTATTTTGATTATTATTGTTTTAGGATAATTAGTTATTTATGATAATTAGTAATATATGATAGTTATGGTTTTATGATTGTTATTGATTTATGATAGTGATTTAGGATAGTTAGTGATTTAGGATAGTTAAGTTAGTGAATTTGTTTGTGATTTACGTAGGTAGTTTTTAGGTTTGAGGTTAGGATTTTGGGTTTAGGGATTGATTAGGTATTTATTATTTAGTTTATAGTTAGTTATTTAGTTGGGGATTTTGGGTATAGATACTAGTTTACAAATGTCGGTACTTAATAGTGCGTGATACGTCGATTTTGATGACTTTATTAAGTTTCGTCAAATGCTTATATTACTAATGAAGTTGTTTATATTACTAGTGCGTGATATGTCTGTTAATTTTACTTTGAATATATACATGTGCTTTCATATTGCATAACAAGTAGTTTAAATTTTGCAATGCTACATAATGTTAATTTGAATTTTGTTAATTTGAATACTCTAACGTTTTGTTTATCAATTTGTAACAGGATGGCCCCTCCCACGCAGTACCCGTTGTACCCCATTCTTGAGGTGGAGTACGACGACCAGTACCGAGCACACATCTTGAGTGACAACGACGCAGAGATGGCCTTGCCTCCTTTGAGGCCCCGCACGCACACCAGGGCGCACCAGTGGGACGAGCGTTATGCGCCATACATACGCGCGTGCCGGCTTCCTCGAGCTTGTCCGTGTTGTCAACCACGGTCTTCCGCCCCTTGACCCAGCACTACTTACTGCAGTTGTAGACAGGTGCGAGTGTATTCTTTGTACGTAAACTTTCTTATAACAAATTTGAGGCAACTAACAGTTGTTCTATTCTTATAACAGGTGGAGGCCTGAGACCCATATGTTCCACCTACCTTGTGGCGAGATGACCTTGACCATGCAGGACGTGAAGGCTATTTTAGGCCTTCGGTTGGGGGGACTTCCAGTGATAGGGATAGTTGACAACGATCACTGGAGGGAGCTGGTGGCTCAGTTTACTGGCTTTCTTTCACCGTACGACGAGGCTTCCAAGAAAAATAAGTGAGTAATTTAAGCCTATTTAATACTTGCATTGCTTTCCTGCAGCCATCGGGTCTCATTTTCTTTGGTCAATTTCAAGAAAAGTTCCAGTGTTTCGTCGTCCTGGATCACAGAGCGATTTGATTACTTGGACCCATAGGCTGAGGAGGCTCTAATCGACAGGTTCGCTCGAGTGTGGCTCTGGCACTTTCTTAGTGCTTTCCTCTTCCCAGACGTCTTGGGCAACGCCATCAGCTGGATCTTCCTTGACATACTATGCCAGCCGTGGGAGAACATATCGGCGTACAGCTGGGGCAGCGCAGTCCTGGCATGGATGTATCGACAGCTATGCGTTGCCTGCCGTCGCACCTCAGGGTATGCGAACCTTGGGGGTTGCACCTACCTACTCCAGGTTTGGTGTTGGGAACGATGGCCCGTTGGGAGGTCCCTTAATAATGGTTTACCGGTAAGTACTTCGGTTCACTATATTCTTCGAGGCAGTTACATATGATGAGATTATTAATGGCTAATTCATTATCGTGTTCAATGCAGCGATGGAACAGGCAGGATACACTCCCTACAGCTCTGTATATCTGGACAGAAGCATAGTTAGTTAGAGGGAATGCGAGGCGCAAGTACAGGGAGTACACGGACGGTCTCGACGTCCTGACATGGCACCAGGTTACGCTCTCTTTACTATCATACCTGTGTCTTGTTCGATGTACACTATATCACAACCTAACTCAATTACGAAATTTTAGGTGCATTGGTGTCTTTGGGATGCTCCGGAGCTCCAGTACTATCTCAATCCTGTCACTAGGGACGAGTCAGACGAGTATCTTTGCGACGTCCCTCTTATTTTCTTCCATGTGGTGGAGATTCACTTGCCCATCAGGGTCTGCAGACAGTTTGGAAGAATGACAGGCTGCCCACCACCGCTTTACTCCACCAACCAAGAATTGCACGGGTGTATTATCGATTAATAATAAAGCTATAATTCAGAGGTGTGTGTGGTACAACTAACATCGTTTTGTTGCAGGTATGACCGCAGAAAGAGGTACAAGACCAAGGATTGGCGCGTGACACACAGCGCGTACATCCATTTGTGGTAGAACAGGGTACGACATCCGGTCCATGCGGGTCCTCCACACGACCAGCACACCTTCGACGAGTACCTGCGGTGGCTTCACAGGTCTACGATGACACATATCAAGCCCCCGTACACTAAGGAGCCGATTGACGAGGACTCGGAGTAAGATGTCATCGAAGATGTGTACGACGTTACCACTAGGGAGGACACACAGCTACAGAGAGCCCCACTTCAAAGATACGTGGTAAGATACTTGAATGATACAATTTGTTATCCTTTTGGTATTAAGTATGTGTACTAAAACTATCCATAGCGCTGGGAAGGACCCTGCAACCGAGGACGACGAGGACGACGATGACGACGACGACGACCCCCCGGGCTTCCGCAGACAACACGACCAGTGGGACGATTGGCCACAGGACGAGATCGGCATGTCTCAGCTAGGTGGTGCCCCACTTGGTACCCAAGGAGCCTCACAGGTACTAACAAAGGTAGTTTCTTTAAATACGTATGCTCCATGAACTAACGATCATAAAGAATTATAAGTAATCGTGCGTATCATATACTTGCAGGGTACAAGCCGTACGCACCGTCGATGCGACCATACTGACGTTGGCTACACTCCCAATGTGTTGCCAACAAATCCGAAAAGACAGAGGCGTCCGAGGGATCCTTACACTCCTGGGATCTTAGTTTGTTAGGTCGAACTATTATTGGCGTCCCAAACTTGCAGGCTAAGTTAGTTATGCTATGTCGAACTTATGTCAAACCAATGAAAATGTTATGTGGCAGCTTGTGAACTTGCGCACGGACTTTATTTATTTGCTTCATATTCGTTTCTATGCGTCGCTGCAGCACTGCCGTCATGATTAGCTTTCCTGGCGTCCCAAGATACTACACAACAGATGAGCACTGAATAACAATTTCCTGGCGTCCCAACATATTCGTTTCTACGGATCGCAGCTTTATAGTTGCATTTCTATCTATTCTATGGAGCTGAAAAGATAGACAGGGAGGAGGAGGCCAGAAGTCGAAAGCATCTGATGAACTTCCACGGTGAGTGCATATGTATATATCCTATGAGTTGTTAAGGAGCAACACCACGAGTCCACGAGTGCTTGTGATCGATTGATTCACCTATAATTAATGTGAGAGGCGTGTAAGGGGGAACTGAAGACCAGTCATTACGGTGGTTAATATGGGCGGCCGTTGAAAGGGAAAACACATGAAACATACATCTGAAACGCGTGAAACATCCGGTTGCAAAAGGCTCGTCAACACGGAGCTCGACGCCGGCGCAGAGTTCGATGCCATGGAGTGACGGGGTGGTCGCCGGTGCGAAGTTCATTGGCGGCATAGGCCTCGGTAGTGGCCGCAATAGGTGGATGGGCGCGTGGCCGCGGCGAGTGGCGCAGTTCCAAGCACGAGGCACGGTGGAGGTGGTAAACCGTACAGGTACCGCCGTGTCGTGCGCCGTGGCGCGGCAGGCCCTACCACGTCAACGGTCGCGTTTTCGGTCGTCGCCATGTCAGACCTCTGCCGCGCCACCAGGCATTTGGCCGCGCCAGGGCAATAGGCGCGGCCAAAAGTGTTAGTTTAAAAAAAATCGACCGTGTTAGATTTAAAATTAGTTTCCAAAAAATGTTAAAATAAAAAAAATCTATTTTCTTGGAGGAATGGTAGCCATAGCCTGTTCATCAACCAACAAAATGTCATCCTTTGCCCTTTTTCACCATGAAAG